ATTCAAATGCCAAACACATAAACGATGTGTCGCATCAGGAAACACCTATTTTATAGCTACCTTCATCTCCCCATCCCCGTCTATTACAACTGCTACTGAGTATTTATCTTCCATGCACCTTAAAAAAACACTCCAACAACCACTTATACGTCTTTGTCGTCTCATTTGATACTAATGCAACACCAAAAATAACTGTCTAAGAGTGGTGGTTACACCCTGAAAATATAACCAATGGGTAATTGTATTTGTTCTTCTTCTAAGTTGTGTCGAACACAACCACATCGCCAAAACAAAAATAGTCAGATCTACTGCTCCCATCAGCCTAAAAAAGAGACTTCATTCATCCATCACTATTGACAGCATATTTAACATATAGCATGGGATAAGTAGATGACTTCATATTTAGATAATTTAAAGCAACGACAATGTCACCATCTGTAATAGTAGCACGCGTTATTCTATCAAAATAGTTGTACATATCCTTCTTTGTAAACCCAACACGAGCGTATCCACCCTTTTGAGCAACCATGTACCCCATTATATGACATGTTCTAATTTCATATGACTGAAAACTGTCAATCTAAGCTCTATCTGCTTTAGAAATTTCATGATAAATGGGATGTAAGTGCACAAACATATATGGGGTTAATTCATGGTTGTGAGCCTCTTCAAAAAACGACACTACATATCTATTTGTGTCGGCTTTGTAATGCACATGAAGCCTAGCGGCACATTTAGTGTGAGTCAAACGTCTGTGATCTCTTTTCCTATCAACTCTACTAAAGTGTTTCATCTCTCTTAGACCATGTTTATTGCATACAAACTGCCTCATTAATGTTATTTTACTATCCTCATGCCCTCTTGTCCTAAATCACTTTTCCTAGTGGCAAACCCTTTACATTTACCATACTTAAAATAAAATTCATTAACTTCATCAATTGTACTGAATTTCATAGCACGAATTTCGTCAGCAGTAACAACATTAATATTCACCTTTTTATCACCTACAATTGCATCTAATTCAACAAACTCTTCGTTATGACTATTACCAGTGTCATGAGCATCATTTGAAGTTTGGTACGCACCGAACACCGAATTGATGTCATCCTGAGCATAGTCTGATTCCGCATCAGATGTTTCACTATCACGACAACGGACGCAGTTGGAATCATAATGGTCGTAGTTTTCCATAGTAAATTTGAATTAACACATTTGTTAAGACACCAAAACTCAACATCAATCACAGTACCTAATTTCCTATTAAAATAAAAGGTATCTAACATAATTAAAAATTCCAAATTATCAAATAGGTAACCCATGTAAATAAAGCAATTTCAAGCATAGACCCAAATTCATAAAATTTAAATCAAATTTAACACCAACTCTGAATTATCACAATTTTTAACACAACAAGTCTCAACATCAATCACCATTCCTTATTTCCTAATTAAATCAAGGGACCGGATTTAAAGGTACCCACCAAAATTGAAAATTCGAAATCATCAAATATAAAACTCATGTAAATAAAACAAATTCAAGCATAAACCCTAATTCACAATTTGAAATCGAATTTAACTCCCCCTTTTATACGTTATTTGAAATCGGTAAATCTTAATCATTAATTGCAAACAAAATTAACAAACATGTTCTCATTTACCTTAGCAAAAACGTGCTCAATACGAACACAATCAAATTTTTGGTTGTGTTATGTTTGATGAGCGTTTGACAAAAGGACAACCTCAAAGAAATAGGGACGAACACAATGAATGTTGTGTTGAGTTTACAATGTTGGAAAAACTTTACAAAGAGGAGAAGAGCATGATAAATAATTTCGATTTGTTCAAAAATGGTAGCGAACAAACACAAACTTAGGATTTCAGGATGGAAGATGAATATGGTGTTGATGAATTGAGGTAGATGAAATTCAGATTGATGTAAGTTATTTTATTTTAATTGATTTTTATTATAAATATTTTAATTATAATTTAAAAAGATTATTAATATATTAAGGACTTAATTACATTATTCATAAATATAAAGTTATCACAGTAAATAACATTTATGACATTTTAGAATTTATGACATAATTCTGATCGACAAGAATGTAACTTTTTCAAAGAAGACATTTTAATGACTTTATTAAAAAATTTCTTTATCGAATTACATAGTTAGTTACATATTTATAGTGGCAGTGGCAAGCGTTGTCTATGTCAAATTTGTAACACGTAGAATATTCATCTAATCTATGCCTGCATGGTTGACATTTAGTTAGCGACGGTCTTTAAAAAAAAGTGTTATGAAAACTTCAAAATAGCAATTAATTTATGATGATGATGACGGATTTGAAAATCAGGGTTTATAGGTGTGATTTGTGTCGATTTATTCAAAGATACCAAAGTGTAAACTAAAGCTGAGACATTTTTTCTACGAGGCTAACTACCAAGTTTCATGCTCTGCATTGTCAAAGTGTTGACCATAGTATTCTTTCAAGTTGTTTGCGGCGGTCTAAATGATTTTGATAGAAGAATATTATATATTCTACAAAAACATCGGTTTAAATAAGTAAAACTAAAAAAATGTAACACGATGCAATTTAATACATTTTAATATAAATAGATATTTAGAAATTTAGGTTATAGTTCTAAGATTTATTTTAATATTGATATTGAAAGTCACATTAAAGTAATAAGCTTTATGCAACATATAATATTACCTATAATATACTAAAATTAATATTTTAAAATGATAATAATTAATTGAATTTAAAATATATAAAATAATTAAAAATTAAATTAAATCAAATTATTATTATTATTTTAAATAATTAATAACTAATTAATGAAATATAATAATAAATCATTTATTAAAATATATTTACGAAGTTTTATTTGATTTTGTAAAAAAATATAAATCTGGTTTGAACAGTTTTAAAAAAAAAAAGTCAATGATATATTTTTTTATGATTTTTAATATCTCTAAATTAATTTATCTTTTAGATTTAAATAACTCCTTATCTCCAAGATGGTCCATATATAACAAACAATTTGACTGCATAGATCAATGATTAAAAGAACTAATAAAACATTTGCATAGTCATGAGTAACTGACTTCAGATTAACAATTGTCAAAAAATAAGAGACTTAAGGTGAACAGAATAATAATAGAAGCACATCTCAATTAATTAGAATACTTCAATCAAAATAATCATAATAAAAATAATATTAACGAACTCACTAGTTTACTCATTCTAATGAGGTTTCTTAAGTTTTTTTTCTCCCTTAAGAAGGGAGATTTTGGATTGAATTTTAGTATGTCGATAAGGATAGTTTAATTTTTGGGTTCGACAGAAATTAAATACGTTATCGAAGTTTGTTCACATGTTGATGTTAAAGTCTAATATATTGTAGTTGAAGTACGCTCAAGTATGTAGTAGACAAAATGTTAGGTTTGTTAGCATGTCGAATTGAGTCTATTTTATTTAGCCTAATTATTTAAGTTACCTTGTAACTTAAGTTAATTTAATAGTCTATAAATAGATTACTTCTCCCAGGTTGTTGAGAGAGGTTGATTGTTGTTATTCACTTGTAATCTGTAAACCTTTTTTGAGTAAGTGAATAGAAAAGCAATTACAACCAATCATGATTTTCTTCTTCTTCCCTCTTCTCTCTCTTTCGTGAAAACCTTATATGGTTTCTTGTGTTTGTTCAAGAAACTCAATCTTTCTCATTATTTTGGTTTGTTCTTGACGGCATTCTGTTACAACAAACTGGTGTGGTCAGCATGGAGAAGAAGATGTCGTCGATGAAATATGAGATTGAGAAAGTCACCAATATGAATGATTTTGATTTGTGGCGCTTGAATATGCAAGCCTTACTAGTTCAACAGGGTTTCCTAGAAGCTTTGAAGGGAGTCGTAACCATATATGATGCGCTAATGGAGAATGAGAAAACGACGATGGTAGAGAAAATCCACACTGCCATATGTTAGACGATAGGCTACGATCTAGAGGGTGGTGAATAGATCGCAAATGAAATTTTCTAATTAAAATCCTGTTAAAAAAGGTTGTAACTATGGTGCACGAAAATAACCTCCACTATGCCAAAATTGAATTTAGACAGCGCTACATAGACAACGCTTATGCCATAAGCGGTGCTATAGGTTTTCAAAAAAAAAATTAAAAAATTAGAGTAAGCGCTGCTAAAGGTATACCTTAGACAGCGCTTACTAAAAGCGCTGCTAAAGGCCTTACCATAGATAGCGCTTCCTTTCCCTAAACGCTGCTATAGGTTTTCAATAAAAAATAAATAAAAAAATAAGAATAAGCGCTGCTAAAGGGTATACCTTAGACAACGCTTACTAAAAGCGCTGCTAAAGGCTTTATCATAGCCAGCGCTTCTTTTCCCTAAGCGCTGCTATAGGTTTTCAATAAAAAAAATAAAAAAAATAAGAATAAGCGCTGCTAAAGGGTATACCTTAGACAACGCTTACCAAAAGCACTGCTAAAGGTGTGATAAAGGGTATACCTTAGACAGCGCTTTCAAGAAGCGCTGCTAAAGGCATTAAACTAAAGCGCTGCCAAAGCCTTAAAGCGCTGCTAAAGGTAATACCTTTAGCATCGCTTCTTGAAAGCGCTGTCTAAGGTAATTAAATAATTTCTAAATCCCTAAATTGGTTATCAGAAACCCCACTTTATACATGCAATTGTTCATCTTCGTCTAACTCGTCTCCTCCCTCCTCACCGTGCAACCGTGGTTCATCTTCTTCTCCAACTCGCTTCGGATTCGTTACCACCATCTCTCGTGAAGAAGAAGTTTCAAAAAACCAGTTTCACTATAAGGTAAAATTTCTTCATCCTTCTAAATTTTGGATTGATAGTTGTAGTTACAGTGATTAGTTTACTCGATTTTGCATTTAGAAACTCTATTCTTGGATGCAACATTTTCATTTGATCTGGATTCTAAATGGATTCCTCCATTTCAATTGAATGGGTTAATTTTAAGTCATACAATTCTAGGTCCTAAGTTTCCAGCATGGATACATACACAGAGGTCATTAGAATATCTTGAGTTTCCTAACTCTAGGGTTTCATCCGTTGATGGAGACACATTTTGGAGATTTGTGGCTAATATTACAGAAATTAACATGTCCCACAACAACATCAGTGCAGACTTATCAAATGTCACGCTAAACTCAGAAATCATATTTATGAACGATAATAACTTAGGAGGAGGGCTCCCACGTATATCAGAAAATGTCGTCTTTTTGGATTTGCATGCAAATTCTTTTGCAGGATCCATTTCTCCTCTGATCTGCCACAAAATAGGTAGGGAAAACAGTTTGGATTATTTGAGTATTGCATGATAAACTTAGAATCTCTTAATCTATCTCAGAATAATCTTGTTGGAGAAATCCCTGATACCATTTCAGTTTTGTCGTTCTTAAGCTTCTTGAATTTGTCAAACAATAACCTTGTTGGACAAATACCAATTGGCACTCAGCTTCAGAGTTTTGATGTTTCATGCTATGTTGGGAATCCTGGACTGTGTGGAGCTCCTCTAGCAGTATGTTATTATGAGCCAAACCCACATGGAGGACACAATGATCCATCCTTCATTTTGAAACCGTAAACCAATCGAAAGCTAGTGAAAACGAAAGTTAGTTATGAAATTCCTGTTAGAAGTTAGATGTGTTAGCTACAGTGAGGTTTTCCTGCTAGTTCTGGTTTTGGTTTTCTGCTAATGTTAGCTAAGTAAACAAAGTTAGTTAATCAATTTTAAAAACAAGTAGTTAAAAATTAGACAGTTCTATTAATAGTTAGTAACTAAGGTAATTAGTATAGGTTAGTAAAATGATAAAAGTGAACTGTCAGAATGTTAATTGAAATTGCAGATTAAAAGGCTAGTTGGTTATGTTAAGAAAAGTTAGAAAATCTTTGTTAAGAATTAGTTAATCCTATGTTGAAGTGGATCCGCATATGCAGGGCATGATTGATGGCTTGAAAAATGAGCATCATTTATAAACACTAAATTGGAAAATGGTAACTTGATTTCTACAGGTGATAGTCAGTATGTATTGCTTTGTATTGTTTGTGCATTTGCATTTATGCTTGTATGAACTGAGCTAGCAATTATCATGAATTGGAACTGGTTTGACCATGCCTAGGGCTGCATTTGGTGAATTGAATGAGGTGCATGACTTCTTTGATATGGCTTGATGGTATTATTATTAGTATTATTAATAATAATAATAATAATGGTATTGTAATTACTAGTATTACTAAAGGTCTGGTTTTTCTTTCTATTTTATTAAGTCAGTTTGTCATATTTAATGGTTAATGGAGCCAATTAGCAGTAAGTAAGATTGTTTTTAGTTGTATTATATTATATTTTCTGAGTCCATATTAAGTCAAGAAATCCAAGACAAGTCAATGTATTTGGTCAAAGTGTGGGACAAAGTTCATTCAAAGCAGAAACCTTAATTTGCTCAGTAGGATATCAAAAATAGATCAAATCACTCAAAATGACTTAATCAGAAATCAAATATTATTTTCATTAATGGAGATTGATACAAAAACTACAAAATCCGATATGAACAATAAAAGGCCCAAAGATCATGATAACTAATTGAATCATTATGCAAAATAATAGAACATAGATCCAAATCTTCCTAATGTAAATTAATTGGGATCAATCAACACAAAATGCAAACCCTAATTCTAAGTCTATAAAATCCTAAGGCATTCCACACTGAAGAGGGACGAAAAAACCCTTGAATTTGTAGCAGCAGTAGTTTCCAAACCCTCAATGAAAGCTCAAAAAATCTCGATACTTAGGGTTTTCACATCGGAAACCTAAGTTATCTAAGTCAGTCCCAACAACAGTACCTCACACACAACAAAGAAAAGGGAAAGAATTAAAAGTAAAAGGAAGTAGAGGAACCAAACAGAAAAATAAAAAAGAGTTAAAGGACAAAGTTCATAACACAACACCTTTGACTGGACAAATCAAAGAAAAAAAATGCATCATACAAAACTGGAAAATATGCATCATGCAAACCCATATGTCAATTTTAATATATCTTATATTTCTGCACATCAATTAACTGAGTTGGTTTAACGAGACTAATGAGTTTGATGTATTGTTTTTACAATGAATGATACAGGAAATCAAGATGTTAGAATAGTGCATCACCAGAATTTGAATAAGAGAATTCTACTAGCATTGATTGCTTCTTCTGCTCTTGCTGGAATCTTCATCTTCTTATTGTTTCTCTTCTTACGGCGAAATAGAAAATTAACAATCTCCGCGAGTAAAAGCCGAGGAACCTAAGGTATTATGGCTTCTATTCTCTCTTTTGAAACTTTTATTTTGATTTTTTTTAAATCTAAGATATATTATGGACTAGTCAAAATACTTGTAATGGGTTTAATAATCTTAGATTTCTCAATGATGGGAGAAGAATAAGATAGTGGAGGATTGAGTTTGTACATAGCAGAGACAAACCGAGTCATAACAAAGCATAACTAGGAGATGTTGGAGTTACCATTCAACATGACACTTAATTTCCCTACATTGTTTCTTTTTTGTTTCTCATAATGTATGCTTAGCTCATGTAGACATGCCTGTAAGGAACAAAGGAATCATATCATGTAGATCCCCATCTAATATTCAACTTAGTAATAGTAAAAAATAACACAAATCATGAATCTTAGAATGAGTTCACAACTAAGCTAATGTCTCTAAAATTGTAACGTTGACGATCATTGATTGAATATGTTATAGGACCACAACAATCCTCATTTCTAGAATTGTTCTAATCACATGTTTGATTTTTGTTGACAACACAGACTCTTTAACTTAGATAATAGTTAAAACCATGGATAAAAAATGGATGTGTGTCGATCGATTGTCAAAAGAGTACGAGGATGGGGTATTAGAGTTCGTTAAGTTTGCTGTTGAACACGCTGAAGACCCGAATAAAATGAAATGTCCTTGCTTGGGTTGTTGTTATGTGGGTCGGGTTGACGCAGATGGATTGAAATCGCATTTATTAATGCGCGAAATTGATCGAAGTTATACGTGTTGGATATTTCATGGTGAGAAAAGCATCGAGAATGTTGAACCGGGGGTGAAAAGTAATGCGACCTATATTTCGTACGACAATGCCACAGATACATATGATTATGATCGGGTGGAAGAGATTGCAGAAGCACTTGAAGAAGATCTTCAAGATTGTCCCAAAATGTTTGAGAGGTTGGTAAGCGATGCAGAGAAACCGTTGTATAAAGATTGCCCCAAATTCATAAGATTGTCTGCGGTATTAAAATTGTACAACTTAAAGGCGCGCAATGGATGGTCGGATAAAAGTTTCACACAATTATTAGCCCTTTTGAGAGATATGCTTCTTGAGGATAATGTTCTTCCTAATCGAACCTACGAGGCCAAAAAAATGTTGTGCTCTATTGGCATGAGCTATGATAAGATACATGCATGTCTAAATGATTGTATTTTGTTTTGAAACGAATATGCATCGTTGAATGAGTGCCCAAAGTGCGGTTTATCTCGATATAAGAAAAAATTATCTCCAGCGAAAGTCTTATGGTATTTTCCTATTATTCCGAGATTTAGACGCATGTTTCGTAGTGAAACCGATGCTAGACACTTGACTTGGCATGCAAATGAAAGAATTATTGATGGAAAGTTTCGACATCCGGCAGATGCACCACAGTGGAAGAAAATTGATAATGATTATCCTGATTTTGGAGGAGAAACAAGAAACCTTCGCTTGGCATTATCTACGGATGGAATGAACCCGCATGGTCTTCAAAGTATCTCACATTCCACATGGCCTGTGATTCTTATGATTTATAACCTACCTCCATGGCTATGTATGAAGCGCAAGTACATGATGTTATCTATGTTAATTTCTGGGCCTAAAAAACCAGGGAATGACATAGATGTATACTTGAAACCTTTAATCGAAGATTTGAAGATTTTGTGGGAGAACAGTGTGGAGGTTTATGATGGATATAGGAAAGAGAGTTTCAATTTGAGGGCGATGTTGTTTGGCACAATTAAAGATTTTCCAGCATATGGAAATCTATCTGGGTATAGCATTAAAGGTGAAAAAGCGTGTCCTGTCTGTGAAGATGGAACCGATACAACACGATTGAAACTTTGTCAAAAGAATGTCTTTCTCAGTCATCGTAGATTCTTAAATTCAAAACATCAATATCGTGGATGGAGAAAAGCGTTCAATGGAAATACCGAACAACGTAGAGCTCCACCTAGATTGACAGGTGATCAAATTTGTGAAAAGGTGAAAGATGTGAGTATTCAGTTTGGCAAGCCTTTTGCACATAAAGTTGTCACAGGTGGGTGGAAGAAGAGGTCAATTTTTTTTGAATTGCCATATTGGAAATCTTTGTACGTAAGACATTTTCTTGATGTTATGCATATTGGAAAAAATGTATTTGAAAGTGTTATTGGTACGTTACTCAATATAAAAGGAAAGTCTAAGGATGGCCTTAAAGCAAGAGAGGACATGGTAGAGATGGGAATAAGAACTGAATTAGGACCCGTGAAGAAAGGAAGACAAACATATCTACCACCTACTTCTTATACTCTATCTAGAAAGGAAAAGAAAATATTGTGTAAGTTTCTGAGTGAAGTTAAAGTTCCAGAAGGTTACTCCTCAGACATTAGAAGACTCGTGTCCATGAAAGACCTCAAGTTAAAGAGTCTGAAGACACATGATTTCCATGTCATAATGGAACATTTTCTACTAATAGGTATACGTTCTATTTTGCCAGAAAAAGTAAGAAGCGCTATAACTAAATTGTGTTTTTTTCCAGGTCAATTTGTAGTAAGGTGATCGATCCTGAGATCTTACCAGTATTACAAAAAGAAATCGTTATTACTCTGTGTGACCTTGAAATGTATTTTCCTCCATCATTTTTTGACATTATGGTACATCTTGTTGTTCATCTTGTGAAAGAGACACAATTGTGTGGACCAGCTTATATGAGATGGATGTACCCTGTTGAACGTTATATGAAAATATTAAAAGGGTACGTGAAAAACCGAAGTCGTCCAGAGGATTGTATCGTTGAGCGATACGTTGTTGAAGAAGCGGTTGAGTTTTGTACTGATTTTTTGTCCAATGTGCAATCCATTGGACTCCCCAAATCTCATTTTTTCGAAAAAAAAGAAGGTAACAAATTAATTGGAAATGAAATTATGAAAGTATCAAGGGATGAACGGGATCAAGTGCATTTGTATGTTCTGCACAATGACACTGAGGTTGAGCCGTTTGTTGAAATGCACAAGGCTATACTCCGGGGTGAGAATCAAAGTAGAAATGAAAATTGGATAGTACGAGAGCACAATCAAAGTTTTATACAGTGGTTTAAGGATCATATATATTCAAAGTTTCATTCAGATCCCGCTTCAATATCAGACAGGTTGAGATGTTTGGAATATGGTCCAAGTTCGATTGTGTTCTCTTATAGAGGATACGGAATTAATGGATACACATTTTATACCAAAGAACAAGATGAGAAAATTACCATGCAAAATAGTGGTGTCACGGTGGTATGTGAAGCAATGAACATTTCTGGTATGAAGGA